CTTCCGTAGTCACCAGGGAAGTGCTGTTCCTGTGGTCAGAGCCCCCGGCCACCCTCCACCCACCCAGGAGACCCTGTACCCTCCAGGCCCCAGTGGCCTCCACCACCCACTCTGCCCACTGTGGTCCCCAGGGCTCTCACTGCCATCCGTATCATGCCCGAGTGTGTCGATTCACGGTCCGGTGGCTACGGCCTGTGCTCCAAGGGCATTCGTGGGTTGGCGGTGACAGGAGGAGGCTTCCCTGGGCCCTCCAAAAGGCGTTGGCCACCGGGCATGTGGTGGGCAGTGCTGGGCAGTGGTGGAGCCAGCAGCTAGCAGAGCACTGTGCTGTCCCAGCCCTTGGCCAGTGGTGTCATTGCCCCAGAGCGGGCGGCGTGGCTCCTGTTTGACAGATGGCGGTCACAGCCCCGCCTGCGTCCCAGGGCTGTGGCCCTGAGTGAAGGGGAGAGCTGGGGGATGGGGGTTGGAGGGGAGCCAGCAGTGACTCTGGGCTGCCCTGCAGAATCATGCGGAAGCAGCCAACCGTCGTCCTGGGCGTGGCACACACCGTGGTGAAGAGGATGTCATCCTTCGTGCGGCAGATTGACTTTGCTCTGGACTGGATGGAGGTGGAGGCCGGGCGTGCGATATACAGGTGAGGCCCTGCCGTCCGTGGTGCCCTGAGGGGAGACAGTGCCACGTGGATGGTCAGGGACTGGAGGCTGCACGCTGAGCATGGGTGTCCTCGATGTCCTGCACACTTGCATGTGCTCACAGACACGTGTTTTCATGGGCATCTCTCCGGGTCAGTGCACAATCCACACCATCCTTTAAGACGACCTGATGAGAAGCACTTAAGGCAGCACTTACTGGGCGCCCGTGTGCCACGTGTTCTCCGCAGTCTCTCTTGGCTCCGTGTCACAGACCCAGCTTCATGCTGGCCCAGGCCACAGGCAGACCATTGTAGCTGTCGGCGTGTGTGGTGTTAAAAATTAACACTAAGAAAATTTTAGAGTATTTATTTATCTAAAACTAACAATAAACTCATACATGTTAACATACATATTTGTAAATCAAAAATAACTATTTTTCTAAACAAAAAAAACATAGTGAGAAGACTGCGTTCCTTTAATTTTTTTACATCCCAAGGTCTAGCTGGCCGTTGGGAAGCTGGGCCTGGGGGCTGAGGGTGGTGGGCCGAGAGCCTCAGGGCCTTGGTGTCTCTTGCAGGCAGGGGGACAAGTCCGACTGCACGTACATCGTTCTCAGTGGGCGCCTGCGCTCCGTGATCCGAAAGGATGATGGGAAAAAGCGCCTGGCAGGGGAATACGGCCGAGGAGACCTCGTTGGTGTGGTAGGCGCCTGGCCCCCGCTCCCCACCACACCTGCTCTCTCTGTCCCCCCCGGGTGACGTCCTGCATCTGCCTGGCTGGTTACTTCAGGGGAGGGAGGCCTGGAGGTGACCTGCAGGAGGGAACTCCCTCCTGGGGCTGGTCTGCTCTGGCCCGAGGCTCTGCCCTTGCCTGGGGCGCAGGGGGTGTGTCCCTGCCCAGGCTGTAGCCCTGGTGAGGGAGGTGGAGGCAGGAGTTGCCTTTGAAAGGGCTCCAGGGGGAGCAGCTGGCAGCTCGTCCAGCCTCCCCAGGTATCCCATGCAGGAGGGTCTCTCTGTCTGGAATTATAGCCCAAGACACCTGGGGTTATGCTCATTAATTTAAAGTTTTCAGCCCATGTGTGGGGAAGTCCAGGGCCTCTCTGCCATTGGTCACAGGGCTCAGGGCAGCCCCCCGAGGCTCAAGGTACCTTGCTGGGTAGGTGCTGAGGGCCACAGCCTCCGGCCCTGCCCCGCCCTGGGCGCTGGGAGGGCTCCATGCCAGTGGTGTCCTGGTACCGCCTGGCCTCCAGGGTGGGCATCCCTATCAGAGTCTGGCGCCTCTCCAGGTGAGAGCTGGTGCACCTGGCGGGACGCTGGTGCAGATGCCTCGGTGCCCAGCAGCAGGACTCCCGCAGGATCTGAGCAACGTTTTAGAAAGAAGTCTTCTCCAAAGACGTTTTTTTCTCAGGGAGTGCTGAGACTACCCTTGTTTCAGCCTGTGGTGGCCGGTGCCTGTGTCTGGGTTGCGGGGGGTGCCTCTGGCTTCCAGCGTGTTCTGGTGGTTCTGACAGCATGCCACATGCAGGCACCCACTGTCATCTTCTACCTGTGCAAAGTAGAGTCTTGGCTAGGTCATCCTGCTATCCCTGGCTCCCTGCACCTTGGGCTGTGAGTAGCTCTGCTATGGGGCTATGGTCCACCTGGCCGCTGGGATGCTATGGGGGACAGGTGTGACTGACTGGGCCTCCAGGGCCTGCAGGATGAGCGGCACGGCCCCGACATCCAGCCCGTCCTCCTCAGGTGGAGATGCTGACTCACCAGGCCAGGGCAACCACCGTGCACGCCGTTCGGGACTCAGAGCTGGCTAAGCTGCCAGCGGGAGCCCTGACATCCATCAAGCGCAGATACCCACAGGTAAGGGCGGCAGGGGGCTGGGCTTTAGTTCCAAGCTGTGCCTCGCGTCCCAGTGATTATTCAGTCTCAGTGCAGATGGAACACAGCCTGGAGTAGGCAAGTGGGACGGATTTAGAGAAGGTGACAGATCACCAGCCTGACAATAGCGAAACCCTGTCTCTACAAAAATAAAACACACACTTGTAGTCCCAGCTACTCGGGAGGCCGAGGCAGGAGGATCTCTTGAGCCCAGGAGTTGGAGGCTGCAGTGAGCTGTGATGACGCCACTGCACTCCATCCTGGGGGACAGAGTGGGACGGTCTCAAAAAAATAAAAGAGGGTGACAGATCAGAGCACAGTTTCAGCAGGGCAGGCTCCTCACTGGGTGCAGCCTAGGAAAGGCGGGTTGCAGTTTGGGTGGGGGTGCAGAGGGCGCTGTGCCATGCAGCTGTCTCCTCTGGTCTCTACTTGTGGGGGACGTGGTGTCGCAGAGGGCTGGAGTAGGGCTGGTCCACAGGGAGGGCGGAGGCAGCCCAGGAGACGGAAGTGCAGATCTGGTTGTGAATCAGCCACACACATCACATAAACCCTTTCATTCTAGAACAAATGAAAAGCTGGGGCAGGTATGGCCCTGGCGCTTCCCAGGCCTCACCCCACGTCACCCACCCTGCCAAGATTGGGCAAATCTCTCCCCCTTTGTAGGCTTACAGTGGGGTCATCACCCTCCCTGCAGACTCAGGTGCGGGTGGGCTGCTCCTCCTCCCTGCGCTTGGTCCTGGCCTCGGCCTTCGTTCTGCCTGCGGGACCACGAGGCATTGCCGCGTCCTGGACGGCAGAGCCCTCAGCATTGGGCAGCTCCTCCCTGCAGGAGCCTCAGCCGGACCTTCAGAGGCTGCTGTGTGGCTCTGTCTGGCCAGCAGCTTCTGGCGATGGTGGGGGTTGAGCCAGTGGGTCCCCTGCCAGCCCCTGGGCGGTGCTCTGCGGGGTACCTGCAGGCCACCCACACCTGGGCTGGGTGTCAGACTGATGCCCTTTCCAGGGAGGGGCCGGCTGCTCTCGGGCACGCAGCAGTCTCTGCCCTGCAGGCGGCACAGCAATGGCTGCGTGTCTCCACCGGGCTGCACGCCAGCCTGGGCCTCTGACACGGGAAGCCATGGTGAAGCCGTGGTGTGGCTGCTCCCCGTCGGCTCCTGCCCCTGCCCTCAGAAACCACCTTCCAGTTTCTGTCTGCTCCTGGATTTCACACAAATGAAACAATGCAGCGTGCCGTGTCTCGGTGTTTCGTTTATGGCTTCTTCTGCTTGGCATAGCATTGTGGAGATGCGTGGTGTTGTATCACTGGTGCATTCTTTTCATTGCCAAGTCGTCTCCCGCTGTGCGCACTTCCTCTGTCTGTTCTCCCGTTGGTAGATATTTGGGTTGTTTCCAGGCAGGGGCTGTTAGGGGCAAGGCTGCTGAGAACATTCGTGTACAAATGTTGTCATGGACCGTTTTTCATTTCTCTTAAGTACCCAAGAATGGAATTGTTGGGTCACAGGCAGATGTGCTTTTCAGAAATTGCCGGACAGTCCTCCGGAGCGGGCACTGCACAAGCGGTGCAGCTTGGCCACGAGTCCGTTGCCACGTTGCCGGCACTTAGTGCTGCTGGTCTCTTGGTATTTACCATCCTCTTGGGCAGGGATCAGCATCTCTCTGCGATTTCAATTTCCGTCTCCTTCATGGCTGCAGATGCGGGGCCCCTTTTCAGGTATTTATTGGCTTATTCTGAACCTATATCATTTGACGTAAAAATAATCATTTTTAAAACTGACTTAAACTTAGAATTATTGTTAATTTTAGTTGTGACAATTATGGCCGTTCTTAAGGGCTTATAGAGCTACAAACTCAAATACTAATGGGTAAAATGCTATGTTTGGGATTGGCTTTGAAATTTTTCAGGTATGTGTAAAATAAAATTATTGAAGTTGGATGAAAAGAGTGGAGTTCACTGTGCTCTTCTGTCTGCTTTGTGTATGTGTCTGTATCAAATTTTCAAAATGCAGTTTTAAAAAATTAATTTCAACCAACAGTTTGATGCTAGATTAGTTGCATATAAACCATGCTTCTTTTTGTTTTTGTTTTTGGAGACAGAGTCTCACTCTGTTGCCCAGGCTAGAATGCAGTGGCGTCAGCCTAGCTCACTGCAACCTCACACTCCTGGGCTCAAGCAGTCCTGCCTCAGCCTCCCAGATAGCTGGGACCACAGGTGAACACCACCATGTCCGGCTAATTTTTCTATTTTTTGTAGAGACAGGGTCTTGCACTTGCTCAGGCTGATCTCAAACTCCTGACCTCAAGCGATCCTCCTGCCTCAACCTCCCAAAGTGCTGGGATTACAGGCGTGAGTCACCGCACCTGGCCTAGACTTCTTTTTAACTTCTGTTTTGGACTCCTCTGCTCACACAATTTTTTTCTCATATCATATCCTAAAATTTGGGTGGTTTCACTTGCATCCTCTGTGGGTCTTTGACTCCAGCATCCTGGGGGTGAGCGAGGATCTCTGAGTTGGCTTGCTGGTGGGCTGCCGGACTTGGCAGAAGGGGCTGGGGGAGGTCGTCCTCACTGCCCTCCCACCTGCAGCAGGTGCATCTTCAAGGTCGACTTTGAGCTGTCAGCCTGCAGGGGTCAGGAAGCAGACTGGAGAGGGAGGCTTGAGGGCAGAGTGGTAGGAGAGAAGTCCCACTTGCTTCCAGGAGCAACACCAAAATGACACTCGGTGCTGTCACCTTGCTCTCCTGGGTGATTGAGGTTTTGCTGAAGCTGAAGCAGCATCTCTTTCCCAGCCATCCTGTCCTGCATCTAAGAGCAGCAGCAGTTAGATTGCCCATACAGTAATACATCCTCTGCCATCTTGTAAGCCTTAGCAGTTAAAAAGCATTCAGCTCACTTTATTTTTATATAAACCATTTAAAAGTAAATTATAACAATTTTAATTTGTCAATTAAAAATTAATTTTTAAAAAGTAAATTAGAGATATTTTGATATTCTAACCTTAAATACTTAAGTCTACAACTCTAAAAGTTAATATTAATAATACCAAAAATAATATTATTATATCTAAAAATGTAATAATTCCTGGTCATCATCCAGTACACAGCCCATGTCCCCAGTAGTGGACTTGTCCACTCGGGAGCAGAGCCCTCAGCGTGGTGAAGCCCACCAGCCTCTCCTCGCCCTGCCTTCAGGGTGGTGGGGGGCTGCCTCCCCAGAAATGATGGCGAAAGGCTTGGTCAGGTTCAAGGGCACTGGGGACGTGCCCCTCACCTCTGCCAGCCCCCCACGGCCACCCCTCAGAGCGAAGCTCCACACTCTGGCATCCAGAAAGGTGACCGTATGGCTCACATAGGCAGCGTGAAGGAAGCATCGCCTGGTCGCCCACAGCCATGCAGTTTCCTGAGTCTTGTCGTCTTTGGAGCATCATTGTGGGGTCTTTAGTTCCCAGCATTTCTCGGTGTAAAATGTGTGGTTTTGGGGTCTCTCCTTTCTCTGCCCACAGGTGGTGACTCGGTTGATTCATCTCTTGGGTGAGAAGATCCTGGGCAGCCTCCAGCAGGGACCTGCAACAGGTGGGTCACCCCTGTGGCCTTGTAGGAGCCCCACCTGTCCTGCAGACCTGCCTACTCCAGACATGGCCCCGCCTGTCTTGGAGCCCCGCCCTCTCCAGACCATGGCCCTGCCCTACCTCAGAGCCCCGCCCTACCTCAGAGCCCCGCCCACTCCAGACCTTGGCCCTGCCCACCCAGGAGCCCCACCCACTCCAGCTACCAGGCTGCCCCGCCCTCAGGAGAGGCCCCAGGGCACCCACCAGAGGACATCTGTGAACTGGGTGGATAAAGAGAGTCCTTAGATTTTGGCAGTGCCAGAAAAATTTTGCAAAAATATGTCTCAACACGGGCAGCATCAGAGGGAAGCTCTGTTATGTGCGAAAAGAAGAACTGTGATACATCTCCTTCCTATTGTTGTCACCTGATTAGGAAAAAGGAAAGGGAAGGTGAAACCTCTGGGAAAAGGTAATTGGTGGGACGCATCTGGATCAGCACCTAGTCGGGTAATTAGAATGCTGCATCCTGTGCTAAGCATGGAGAGACATTGAAACAACTCTAGAGTATTAGGACTTAAAAATCTTTTTTTATCTCAGTTTATTTATTCTTTTCTAGTTCTGAGTATGTGCTTTTTTCAGGAGCCACTATTAGATCTAGATTTTCAGGCTGTCCTCTCTTACTGGATCTCAAATATTTGAGAACTCTGATGTTCGACTCATTATCTTTGGTTAACGACGTTGGACTCCAGGACCCCCTTGCTGTTCCATGAACACCACTCCCTCCTGCCTCCTGCCTCTGCGTCTGCTGTTGTTCTCTGCCTGGAGCAGCCCCCAGGAGAGCCACACGGGGCCTGCAGGTCCTGTGTCCTCGCCTCACGCAGCCTCCCTGACCTCCCTGACTGCCCCCAACACTCTCAGTTTCCCTTTTCCACTTAATTTTTCTCCTCTGTACTTGTCATCCCTGACACATCACATATTCTCTCTAGTTAGCTCATTTGTTACCTGTTTCCTGCATCGACATGTGAGCTGCGTGAGGACAGCGGTCTGGATATGTTTTTTCACAGCTGTGACCTTGTGTGCGATATTGAACGTTTGTTGAAGGAATGAATGGGTGGACAGACATGCCACATGGAGTGGAGGTGTGGAGGGTGTGAGACCTAATCCAGCACGGCCTCATCTTAATCTGATTACATCTACAGAACCCTATTTCCAAATAAAGACACATTATGAGATTCTGGGTGGACATGAATTTTAGGGGAACACTGTTCAACACATGAGATAATTCTTTTCATTTTACTTTCAACCTGTCTGTACCAGATGAGTTTCTTGTAGAAAGCATATAGTCAGTTCATGTTTTTTTCACCTCTTCTGACAATCTTTATCTTTTAAGTCGTTTCTAGGTCATTTATGTTTAATGTAATTATTTTGTTAGGATTTATGTCTTCCACTTTATTTCTTTCTGTTCTCACCCCCCCCCATACACTTTTTAAAACATTACTCTAGGCCGGGCGAGGTGGCTCACACCTGTCATCCCAGCATTCTGGGAGGCCAAGGTGGGTGGATCGCTCAAAGTCAGGAGTTTGAGACTAGCCTGAGGAAGAGTGAGACCCCGTCTCTACTAAAAAATAGAAAGAAATGATCTGGACAACTAAAAAAATATATATGTATATATAAAAATTAGGCAGGCATGGTGGCACATTCCTGTAGTCCCAGCTACTCGGGAGACTGAGGCAGAAGGATCGCTTGAGCCCGGGAGTTTGAGGTTGCTGTGAGCTAGGCTGACGCCACGGCACTCTAGCCAGGGCAACAGAGCCAGAACTCTGTCTCAAAAAAAAAAAACATTATTTTTTCTATATTTTATTTTATGTTGTGTTATATATGTTATTTTATTTTATTATTTTAGAGATGGGGTCTTTCTGTGTTGCCCAGGATGGAGTGCAGTAGCTGTTGACAGGCACAATCGTAGCGCATTGCAGCCGTGAGCTCTTGGGCTCAGGCAGTCCCCCGCCTCACTCTTCAGAGTAGCTGGGAAAGCAGGCACATGCCACCATGCCTGGCTTTTTAAGCTTCTGTTAGGTTACTTGAACCTTTCTGAGTATTCCATTTTTATGTATCAAGTGTGGTTTCCATTATCTCTTCATATGATATTTCAGTGGTCACTCTGGGGGTTACAGTGTCCGTACTTGCCTCACCTTTGCCTTCTCACATCAACATTTTATTTAAGCAGAATGTGGAGACCTTACCACCATTTGGGCCACTTCATTCTTCCCCCTTAATGACGCAGTGTCTTAACTGTGACCTCTGTGTACATAGAAAACGCTCCTCAGTGTATGACTTTTGCTTTCAGCCATCAAGCATAATTCGCAGAACTCAGGAGGAGAGTAGTCTGTGATATTACTCAGATGGTTACCATTTCTGCTGCTCTTCCTTCATTCTTGGTGTTTCCAGTTTCCTTCCAGTGTCATTTTCCTTTTTTTTCAAGGATTTTTTTTTGTTGGTTTTTTTTTTTTTTTTTTTTTTGGGGGGGGTTGGTTTTTTTTTGGTTTATTTGTTTGTTTTGCAACAGAGTCTTGCCCTGTCGCCCAGGCTCGAGTGCGGTGGTGCACTGATAGCTCAGTGCAGCCTCGACCGCTGTGCTCAAGTGATCCTCCCCCTCTGCCTCCTCAGTAGCTAGGACGACAGGTGTGTGCCACCGTGCCTGGCTATATTTAAAATTTTTTTGTAGAGATGGAGTTTTGTTGTGTTGCTCAGGCTGGTCTCAAACTCTTGGCCTCAAGCAATCCTCCCACTTCAGCCTCTCAAAGGACAAGGATTACCGGCGAGAGCCACGGTGCCTGGCCTAGCAGTTCTTTTAGAGAAGGTCTGATAGCTACAAATTCTTGTAATTTTCCCTCATCTGGGAATGTCTTTACTTTGCCCTCATGCAGAAGGATATTTTTGCTGGACGTATAATTCTGGGTTAGCATTTCTTGCATCTCAGCACTTAAAAAGTTTTGTGCCACTTCCTTGTGGCCTCCACTGGTTCAAATGGAAGTTCCCGATGCCTGGTGTTCTCACATAGATGGTGCGTCATCTCCCTCTGTCTTTAGTTTTCAGAAATTTGATTTTGAAGTGTCTGGGCATGAATATCTTTGGATTTATCCTATTTGGGGTTTATTCATCTTGAATCTGTAGGTTTATATCTTTTACCAAATGTAGAAAGTTTTCAGCTATTATTTCTTTAAATATTTTTTTAATATCATACCCTTTCGCCTCTTGAAATGCAGTAACACAAATGTTAGACCCTTTGTTACTGTCCCAAAGGTCTCCGGGGCACTGTTCATTCTGTAAAGCTGTTTTCTTCCTGTGCTGTTAAGACAGAGGTTCCTTTCAATCTGTCTTCGGGGTCACTGGCTTCTTCCCCTGGTCCTCTTGATTCTGCGATTAGGCCTATGTGGAGAGTTTCATTTCACTTACTGTATCCTGGTTCCTCTTTATATCTTCTGCTTCTATACTCAGACTTTGTTTTAGGAGCGTTCGTGATTGCTGGTTCTAGCTGGTTATGACAGCTGCTTTATGGACCTTGTCAGATAATTCCAACATCTGCGACGTTATTTTTGTCTCTTGGTTGTTTTTGCTTGTTCTAGTTAAGATTTTCCTTGTTCTTGGTATGCCTGGTAATTTTGAATTATATTGTGATATTTTGAGTATTATGAGACTGTGGTTCCTACTGATTGATTGATTTTTTAGAGATGGGGTCTTGCTGTGTTGCCCAGGCTAGAGTACAGTGAAGTGATCATAGCTCACTGCAGCCTCCAACTCCTGGGCTCAAGTGATCCTCCTGCCTCAGCCTCCTGAGTAGCGGGGACTACAGGCGGGAGCCACTGCATCCAGCCTAGTTCCTGTTTATATCTTCTATTTTAGCAGGCTGTAAATATGCTCGAGTTCATAGAGCATGTCCTGACCAACTTTTGTGGGCTATTGTTTGAATGTGAACTTAACTGTCAGGGCCTTCGCGGTATTGCTCTGGTTTGCCCTGCTGTGCTCGCAGAACCTGCCTGAAAGCTGCCTGGGGTTCTGCACTGTACTCAGCTCTCAGAGCCTCGCTTCCGATCAGTTTCACGTAGGCCTGGTCTGTATATGCAGATTTCAAGACTTTCTTTCTGTACCCCCACCTCTCGCCGGGGGGAGCATAGCGTTCTCTGCTTACTGGTACAGGGTGGGTAGTTGGTGAGTGTGTGCTGGTGTTGCTTAGTGCTGGGCAGTCTCCCTGCAGGCAGCACCCACGGGAAGGGCACTGCTGCTTTTGTTGGGTTAGTGGAGTGGGTCTTCCCATGAGTCCGAGGTCCCTAGTTGGTCTGCCTTCCTCTCTTCATCCCCCGAGTCTTGTGACAGTGGCTCCTTGTACTATTCCAGGGTCTCTTATGACTTGTGACAGGTGGAATGTGTCTGCTCTCCCTCCCTTTTGGCCACAGCTGGAAGCCTAAAGTTCTTAAAGACTACGCAAAGCTGGCTATAAATCCCTCTTTGCTTCCACCTGAAATGGAGGATTCTGACCTGTGCAGCCCCTGGGAGAGATGAGAGGAAGGAGATGCCCAAGGAATAGCTGCAGGAAAAGTAAATAAAACTCAGACCAAGAAAGAGAGACATTCAGACTTATCTGGGGATGGGAGAGGTGATTCTTTGTCTTTCTCTGTTCAGTGGCACTGTTGGGGGTGTGTCATCGTTTGCTTGTTACCTGAGGATCATTTCCTCTTCGCGACAAACGCAGTGCGCATTTCACTTGGCGTTTAGAAGCAGCAGAAGCGTCATTGCAGGACAGTCCGAGTCCCCAATTCCTCCTGTGTGTTTGGAGGCTCAGCTGCCTGGAGAGGGGTCATAACTGCCGGGCTGAGGGTGTGACGGTGACGCTGTAAGAGACCCTTGCAGGATGGCTCAGCAGTGCTTGGGAAGGTGGCCTTGGTGGTGGCCAGGGTGGGGCACAGCATGAGGACCACCAGGGTCCCCAAGACCTCCTGGACAGATGGGCTAGAAGCTGATAGGGTGGCCTCTCAGGGCCAGGTTCAGGGTGGCAGGAACCGGAGCCTCGTAGGCAGCTGGAGGAGCTGCACCCGGGCTCCGTTGTCTGAACGGCAGGTGCTGTACCGGTGTGGCTGGTTCCACCGGGAGGAGCAAAGGTAGTCAGAACGGCGCCAGATCCGAGAGGAAATGGTGGCAGGTTTTATTTTGCTTCATTTTCTTGTCTGTCATTGCCTAGTTTTGTTAAAAAAGCTGTGTAGGCCTGTAAAAAAGACATGAGACAATAGGGAACCTTGACAGTATGAACTGAGAAGTAGACGCCTCCCCTTCATGGCTACTCAGGCTCTGCTGGCTGCGGTGTGACCTCTGCACCCTTTCTCACACAGGTAGATGTGTCTGCAGGGTGTCTACAGTGGGCAGGGTCCTTTAGTGGGACCCCTAGTTCCAGCATTTACTCCAGGGTTAGGGGCTCTTCTGGGGGATCCAGTGAGCCCCATGGCCAACACCTGCCCAACCCTGGGCTCTCAGGCCACCCCCAGACAGCTCCCACCTCCAAGCAGCCATCCCTGTGTGGTGACCCGAGCGTGGACGTCCCTGCACATCTCGAGCGTCACTGGGTCACAGCTGCTTAGCAGAGCTGTGTGCTGTCTGCAAGCGCCTGGGATGTGACTGGATTTTTCGGCCTTGTAGCAGAGAAGGGCAGAGGACCTTGAGCCTTGGCAGTCTCTGCAAAACACCCATCCCTGCGTTCCCTGGGAAACACCTGCTGCGGCTGAATTAAGGAGCCAGTCAGGGGAGAATTCTCTCCTGGAGTTGATGGTTGAGTCGGGGGAGCCACGGCTCAGGAGAGGGTGGAGGGGCAGGGCATGCAGCCCTGGGCAGTCGGGCTGGGCCTTGAGGGTGTTAGGGGTTGCCAGTGGCTCAGGTCAGGCACAGGTTGCAAGGGTCTGTGGCAGTTGCAGACTTAGTTTGTCCCAAGTTGGGCGGGGGACGGGCACTGGAGGGCTTTGGGCAGAAGAAGCACCTGGTCTGACTTGAGTGGGGCAGGTTTGCTCTGGCCACGGTGTGCAGAGCAGCCTTCTCTCCAGGAAGTGGCCCTGGGGCTGCTGGGGGCCCAGGACTCCCATTTGCTGGTGATGAGCATGACCTGAGAACAGGGAGCCCTGGGGGCACTTGGCGGGTCAGGACAAGAAGAGGGGCCGGGGCTGGGGACCAGGTCCAGGGGTGTATCCGGGGCTGTCCCATCGTGAGCATCAGTGGAATGCTGAGTGGACAGCGCCACTTATCTGTGTTCCTGTCCATGTATAGACTCAGGAACCTTCTGTTTGAGTGTTCATTTAATAATGCAGTTACATTTATAAACTATGTGTTTTTACTCATCAACATGTCATCAGCTTTTTTCCTGTCAGTACGTAAAGGTGTGTTTTCTTCTTTTTGAGAGCTATGTGGTCATTCATTGAACCATACACCCCACTAATAGGTGTCTTGATTGTCTGGGCCTCTCATAAGCGATGCTGCAACAAGCATCCGTGTTCATATCCTGTAGGCAGCAGACGTTCCTGCTGGTCACTGTGCGCAGCGCGGCCTGGCTGCCAAACTTTTGCTTCTGTTCCCTGCTGCTGGGTTTGCTCCACTGGTCCCTCCCCTCCATGCTGCGACCGCCCTTTGCCACCATTCTGCACCCCAACGCTGACTTTAGCCAGTCAGGAACTGCTGCGTCTGTGCGGCTTTTGGAGACGGCTTCACTAGGGGTGAGAGGAACAGAGTCAGAAACGAAGCCTGTTCAGAGGAGCTGGGCCTGTTTGCGGGAGAGATGGGCTGTGGCAGCCATCAGTGCTGGGCCCTGTGGGGGCTGCGGAGGAGAGAGCCCCCCACATGCCAGGCCGCAGGAGACCCTGGCTGGGCAGGGGCGTGGCGGTACAGTGGCCAGCAGGCGTAGTGGGGCCATCCCTCACCTTTGCAAGAAGGAGACTTCCACTAACACCGGGACCAGAGCCCCTCTGACAGCGACTAGTGAACCTGTGGACCGACACATTGCCATCCTTGCTGCTGTGCTGGCCGAGGGGCCCGTCAGCTCGCTTGGGGGCCCAGGGGACGGTCCTAGCCATCTGGGTCAGCCCCTCAGTGGAACCCTTAGAGGTCCACGGTACAGGAGAGGAAGGCTCCCTCGCAGACGTGGTCTGGCTACCCCAGCCCAGCCCAGCCTTCCCTGGTTTCTGGAGATCCCGTGCACGTGAGGGACGATGAGCACACGTCTCGGTCTTCTAAGCTCTTACATCGTTTCCTGTTTCTAGAATGAGTGGTGGGAAAACTCTAGGAATGGCTGGGTCACAGGATGAGTCCTCTCACCTGGCAGGATATTTTAACTGTTTTAGTTTATTCTGGGCCTCACGCTTTTCCACACTTCATTTGCTTCCTGAATCACCAGGCTCCAGGGGCAGGAACACGTCAGTCCCAGCACATGGAACTCAGGCACTCGTGGGTGTGGTCAGATAGCTCAGCAGGACGGGGCAGGGGGTGCGTGGGGAGGAGGCCTCTGGGCACTGCAAGACCTGGGGCAGACGTGGGAGCTGCTGCGCCCTGGTGCCATCTGGAAGCGTCTGGAGGCATCCGGGCTGTCTTGGACGCAGCCCAGCTTCCCAGCTGACACTGGCCCTGTGCTCCACAGGCCACCCACTGGGGCTCCACGCAGCGGGCAGCAAGTGGGACTCGGGGAACCCGGCAGGCAACCTGTCTACAGTGGCTGCGATGCCCGTGTCTGAGGACGTGCCCCTCACTGCCTTTGCCCTGGAGCTGGAGCACGCCCTCAGTGCCATTGGTAAGCTCTCCCCACAGCCTGGTGTCTGGCCAGCTGCACCATCTGCCCCACAGTCCTTCCACGTTGCTCCTCAGATTTAAAAAGTGACATGTCCTCATCGGTTCCCAAGGGTCCTAGGGGTCACTTCATGTACAGCCCAACCTCTGCGTCTGTCAGAGCTGAGGGTCAGGACAGGGCACCTGGCTGGCAGGACGGGCAGGCCACAGCGGGTCTTGCCACACCCCTGTTAAGGCTACACTAGGGGGCTGAGGGCATCCCTGAAGCTAGAACAGTTGTCAGGTCCAGGGTTGCCGGGAGATCATGCAGGGTCCCTCAGTACAGAGCCCCCCAGCCCGTCCTCGTCCTTGGCGCAGAGACCCCCAGCCCGTCCTCGTCCTCGGCACGGAGACCCCCAGCCCGTCCTCGTCCTCGGCGCGAAGACCCCCAGCCCGTCCTCGTCCTCGGCACGGAGACCCCCAGCCCGTCCTCGTCCTCGGCGCGAAGACCCCCAGCCCGTCCTCGTCCTTGGCGCGTAGACCCCCAGCCCGTCCTTGTGTTCTCAGCCTGCTGGGGTCTTTGCCAGCTGCTCCTCTGTTCGATTGGATACTACAGTGGATGGCCAGGGCCTCAGCTGGGGTCAGGTGATTTTGGTGGTGTTTTCAAATTTTCTGGTGGCTACTACATTTGTGGCTTCAAGAACGAGAAATTGAAGTTCCTGAGAAAGCTTGGGAATTCTCAAAATCGTAAGGTATTTTGTATTCTTTTTAACACTATTTACAAGTTTTTATGTAGTTGTGGGTGACCCCGATGATAGTGTATCACTTCTCCGTGGTTTGGTTGTACTAAAACTTTAAGAGTTGTCTCTGCAAAATGATATAATAATGAATGCAATGAGTATGGTATAATTGTTTTGAAACAATATACTATCATAAGAATATTCAGTGCCATGTTAAAATGCTCTCTGAGACAGACATTTGATAATAGAAAACATTAAATAAATGCCAAAAAAGATTTATAAAACTGAAAGATGTTATCACTATTAATATCTAATATTTAAAAGTTACTGTCGAAATTCAAGTTTAAAACACGTAAAGCATTCACTGCCTCCTTTGATAGTCTTGATCTTTGTTTCCTGACGAGTATTCAGATGTGTGTAGAAAATTCCACTCGTTTCCACGGACAGCTGGCGGATTGCTCAGAGTGCAGCCAAAGCATCTTCAGGTTGCACAGTAGAGTCTTGCTTCATATAAAATTCCCTTTTTAAATCTTTTTATTTCGAAATAATTGTAGAATCACAGGAAATCGTAAAACAGTAAAGAGAGAGCCCACATGCCCTTCACATAGGTCCCAGTGGTAACATCTTCTGTAGCAATATGAGGACCAGAAAATTGGCATTTGTGCTCTCTGTAGACCTACATCACCAGTTCGTGTGTGTGTGTGCCGTGTCCCATGCCATTTCGGCACAGGCACGGGTTTCTGCGCTGGTACCACAGCCAGGCTGCGGGACTGCTCCGTCCAGCGGTGCGTCAGCCCGCCTTGAAGTTCCGCTCTCCCCCAACACCCCCACTCACTGGCAGCCGCATGTTCATTCTCCATTTCTGTAACTTCGTCATTCTGAGAAAGTTATAAAAATGGAATCAGGCTGGGCACAGTGGCTCACACTTGTAATCCCAGCTACTACTTGGGAGGCCAAGGCAGAGGATCGCTTGAGCCCAGGAGTTGGAGGCTGCAGTGAGCTACAGTGACACCACTGCATTCCAGCCTGGGTGACAGCAAGACTCTGTCTCCCAAAAAAAAAAGGAATCGTACCGTCATATCATGTGTGGCCTTTGGGACTGACTTTGGTTACTCGGAATGATGCCAGGTGTCAAGAGCTCGAGCCTCCTTGTTGCTGAGGAGTATTGCATCATGTGGGTGCCCATGGTTGCTTTAACCACTCAGGTCGTGTGGGTTGTTTCCGGTTCAGTGGTGTTACGAATAAAGCTGCTGTGATTATTTGGGTAATGGATGTTGTGTGCACATACGTTTTCATTTCTCTGGGGTAATGCCAGGAGTGTGATAAGTATGTGTGTGTTTAGTGTTTTATAAGAAGCTGCCACACTGTCTTCCAGAGTTTCCACCAGCAATGTGTGAGTGATAACAGTTTTTCCACATCCTCACCAGGCTCTGTCATCAGTATTTTTTTTTAAGAAATGGGGTCTTGCTATGTTGCCTAGGCTAGACTCGAACTCCTGGGCTCAAGCGATCCTCCTGCGTCAGCCTCCCTAGTAGCTGGGACCATAGGCAGTGCCACAGTGCCCAGCTTGGTGTTACTGCTCTTTTTTTGTTTTAGCTATTCTGATAGGTATGTAGTGGTAGCACATCGCAATTTAATTTGCTTTTCTCTGCTAGTGCATGATGATGTTGCACATTTTACTGTCTTTATTTTCTTTGGCGAAACGTCTGTTCATACCTTTTGCATGTTTTCTAACTGGGCTGTTTGTTTTCTTACTGTTGAAGTTTTTCCTTCTCTTTTTTAGTGACAAAAATCATGGATTCTTTTTTAAAAAATAGATTTATGTTTCTTAGCAGTTTTAGGTTCACAGCAAAATGGAAAGGAAGGTGCAGAGAGTTTCCATATACTCCCTGCCCCCACGCATGCATAGGCCCGCGGGAGTGGGCGTTTGTTACAACGGCGCACCTACGCTGACTCACCATCACCACCCAAGGTCCACAGTTCGCATTACGTTCACTCTTGTTGCTGCACATATGTATAGGTTTGGACACGTGTGACGACATGTATCCACCATTACGGTGTCGTGCGGAGCAGTTTCCCAGCCCTGAAAACCCTCTGTGCTCTGCCCGTTCATCCCTCCCTGCCCGCCAGTCCCCAGACACCGCTGATCTTCTACGTCTCCGTGGTTTTGCCTTTCCCAGAATGTCACAGAGCTGGAGTCATGCAGCATGCATCCTTTTCAGATGGCTTCTTTCATTTGGTAGCATGCATTTAAGTTTCCCCCATGTCTTTTCCTGGCCTGATAGTTCATTTCTTTTCAATGCTGAATAATAGTCCACTGTCTGGATGTAGCACAGTTTAATTATCCCTTCATCTACTGAAGGGCATCTCGGTTGCTTCCAAGTTTGGGCAATGATGAATAAAGCTGCTATAAAAATCCGTGTGGAGACTTTTGTGTGAACGTAAGTTTTCACCTCCTTTGGGTAAATATCAAAGAGCATATTGCTGGATGATATGGTACGGTATGTTTGGTTTTGGAAGAAACTGCCCAGCTGTCTTCCAAAGTGGTTGTACCTTTTCCCGCCAGCGGTGAGTGGGGCTTCCTGGTGTCCACACCTTCCCGGCCCCTGGCTTTGTCGGTGTTCTGGATTGGGCCGTTCTGATAGGTGTGCGTCGGCATCTCAGTGCTGCTTCAACCTGCATTTCCCTGATGACACGTGACAGGGAGCATCTTTCCGTGTGCTGATTGACTCTCTGTGATGTCTTCTCTGGTGAGGGATCTTTTCAGAGCTTTGGCTCGTTTTTTTAACTGGGTTGTTTACTTGTCGAGTTTTAGGAGTTTTTTTATATGTTTTGGGTAACAGTCCCTTATCAGATGTGTCTTTTGCAAATATTTTCTCCCAGCCTGTGGCTTATCTTCTCAGTCTCTTGACGGTGTCTTCACAAAGCAGAAGTTTTTAACATAAGGGAAGTCCAGCTTGTCCATTTCCTTTCGCAGGTCGTGCCTTCGGTGTCGTATCTGAACAGTCATTGCCAAACCTGAAGTTGTCTGGATTTTCTGCAATGTTAACTTCTAGGAGTTTTATAGTTTTACGTGTCACAGTTAGGTTCATGATCCACTGCGGGTTGCTGTTTGTGAAGGGTGTGAGGTCTGTGTCTAGATTCGTTTTTCGCATGTGGATGCCCAGTTGTTCCCACACCATCTGTTGAAAAGACTGTCTTTTCTCCGTTGTAGTTACTGCCTCAGCTTCCTCGTCAAAGATTAGTTGACTGCATTTATGTGGGTCTATTTTGGGGTGTGGCTTATTTTTTTATTCTTTTAATGCTGTCTTTTGGTGAACAGAAGTTCTTGATTCTAATATAGGCTAATTTATCAGTTTTTTCCTATATGGTTACTGCTTTTTGTGTTTTATTAAAAAAATGTAATCCTGTCCCCCAAGTCATAACGTTCTTCTAAAAACTTTATTGTTTTACCTTTCCTTTTAAATTTACAGTCTACCTGGGATTGATTCTGGTTATGGTCGAAGGTAGAAGTCAAGATTCATTCTTTTCTGTAGGGATATTTGCAAGGCAGGTTTGCCGTGCACCGGTTGTGAACTCGCCAGAGTCTGATGAGGCAGAACGGCCACACGGCAGGCCACACGGAGCAGGTTCGCTACTCACAGACAGCAAGGGACAACAGGAGCCTCGATTCACTGCCAGCTGGACTCCAGGCTCAGGGAAGCCGCTCAGGACCCTGGAAAGCAGCCCGCCCGGGTTTCATACCCAGGGCGACACGGCCCGCTGGGCTAGAGCGTTGCAGAACACCCTGTGTCTGGGGGGCTGGGACAGAGCCCAGCTGTCCCGCCAGTCTCTCCCCACCTCTGGGTGTTGCCCTCTGGCACATTCTACAGTTATTCTTGAGAACTGCAAGTGAGAAACGAGGCAGAACTAGGTGAGTCCAGGGCTACCTGGAGCCCTGTCCTGCCATCTTCAGGTGACCCAGAACTCTCATTTAGAAAGACCAAACCTGGCCCACCGTGCAGCTGCCTCACCTTCGCTGTGAGTCAGTCACCTTCACTTCTGAGAGGGTTTTGCTGACTGAATGACGAGTTTAGGCCAATAATCATTTTATTCTAGCACTTTGAAGGTGTCTCTCCATTTTCTTCTGGCTTCCAGAATTTGGGAAAGAAGCTGTTTGGTAGTCAGTCTGGCAGGGTTGCCCAGGCCAGAGCAGGCTCGGGACTGTGGCCTGGCTGGATGTTTGCTTCAGCCACACCCACAGAACTGGAGCCGGGTGGTGCTGACATCCCTCCTGCCTTCTGGAAGGCTGGCCTCCCACGAGGCGCAGGTCTCCCCGGCCTGGCCTGTGCCACCTTGCTCCTCTGGGCTTCCCCACGGAACACCTGCATCCCCGTAGTAGACTCCTCCAGGAGTGGGTGGTCAGCGCAGCCAGACTGGTAGGAACTGAGCCCACACCTGGGAACCCAGAGGTCCCTGAATAGCCCCTGAGAGCCCTCCAAATCCAGGGGGGCCTAGAGCAGCAGATGTCCATTGTGGGGCAGGTGGGGCTGAGCCAGGGTCCCTGCGGGGCTTAGGCCAGCAGCTTTGTTTTCCTACGTCTGGACGTGGCCTGTCTCGTCCTGGGTGGCTCCTGGTGCCGAGAGGTAGAAGTGTGCATGCATCACCCCGCCTTGCAGCGCTCCTGCACTGGAGGCCCTTCCTGTCTTGTGCTGCGGTGGCTGAGAAGACACTGCTGTGTGGCTCCTGACTCAAGGGTCTAACTCCAACCTGCTGGCCAGACAGAGCAGCCCCGCCAGAGTCCCTGCCCTTCTCCAGCCTCCCAGGGAGGAGCAGCCTGTCACCCGCTCAGCCGTGCGTGTGGTTGAACTCAGCCATGTTTCAGCAGGGCTCGCATAGTTGTGACGCTGCAGTTGCAGCTTTCCACGCGCAGCGCTGGGCTTCTGGGTGCTTTCCCCGGGTGGAGGGTGCTCCTCCTTGACGGCCAGAGCACAGTGGGCAGCGCCGCCTGTCTCGTCCTGGCTCTTCTCCCGAGCCTCCGACGGCCTTTCTGCGGATCCTCCCTGCTGCTTGAGCGGGCCCTGACAGCTGCCTGTGGGGACAGCAGCACGCTGGGTTTAGAGACATAAAATGTGAAAAGAGAGGGCATCTCGACACCGGTGAACTTCAGCATGTTGGGATCCCGCCAGCCCCGCTGATCTGGATTTGGGAAATTGTATGATCTCGTGTGGCAGAACCTTCCCTGCCCCCAGCACGCAGTCAGGGATGCAGAGATTCGACTACTCTGAGGTTCAGAGAGGCTGCCTGGGGGTCTCTCAGGGTCGGGGGCGGCAGCCTCAGGCCACAGGCTCTTCTTCCCGAGGAAGGAAAAAGGCTTGGCAGTTGCTTTCAAGGCAACAGACCTTTAAGGATAGGAGTGGATGCTGTCATCAGCCTTGACTGCCCTTGGAGGGGCTGGCAGGACACGTCTCCCTGATCCGTGGCTGTGTTTTCAGGCCCAACCCTGCGGCTGACCAGCGACAACATAAAACAGCGCCTTGGCTCTGCTGCTCTGGACAGGTGTGCTGCCTTCTGTGCCCGTTTGGCCCCGTGTAGCAGGCAGCCTGGCAGGCCTCAGCTCCCTCCTCTTAGCCAAGCACACCCTGGCCGCTCCGTGGCCAGCCACACCACAGTGCTGATGGCAGTGACACCACTTGCATCACTCGGCACACAGTGGGCAACTTGAACCTACTGGACACAGTCAGGCCTCCCAGGGGACCTCCAGACCCTCCTCGTTGCTTGGGCAGCCTGTGCCTCACCGTGTCCTGACTGCCACCCAGAGCCCGGGCTCAGCTGCAGCCCCTGTGCAACGGTCCCATTGCTGAATGACTCACCAAGGACTAGGGACAGCTGGGAGTGCTGGGTGGTGGCTGGTCCTGGCCCTCTGCTGCCACTTTTGGAGGGGGACACAGGCTCCCTGGGAAGTGGGCCTCCTGGGAGCCTCCCACAGAGAGTGAGGCACTCCCTTTGTGGCATGCAGCACCCACGAGTACCGGCTGTGCAGCTGGCTGGGCCAGCAGGAAGACATCCACCGGATCGTGCTGTACCAGGCGGACGGCACACTCACGCCCTGGACGCAGCGCTGCATCCGGCAGGCCGACTGCATCCTCATCGTGGGCCTGGGTGAGCAGGAGCCCACGGTGGGCGAGGTGAGCAGTGGGCGTGGGCTGGGGAGCCCCTGTCTCCTCAGACCCCTCTGTTTCTCTTTTCTTTTGAGTGAAATATTTCAGGAACTCAGAAAAGGACAGTAAGAGCTGACGCCTAGACACCTGCTACCATGCTTTAAAACGTTGCGCTGCATTTTCCGTGGCGGTGGCTGCACAAAGCAGGCCGGGTGCCCTGAGTGCCCCCTGACCCCCAGGTGGCCTCTTGTGAAGTCAGAGCCTCTCTGTCCGTCTCCCACATTTTTATACCGTGTGCACAAAGCACTGTTTTATAGGCTCAAAATTCTATATAAACAGTGTCCTATTTTATATCATTTCGAAATTTCCTTTTCTCCTCAATGCTGACGGTTCTGAGCTTTGTCCTTGTTGTTTCACGTGTATGGCTGTGGTTGTCCCCTGAGTGTCCTCCCTGCCTCTGCGTTCTCAGCGCTGGCTGTGACATCTTTTCATTGGTTACCTTTCTGGTGGGCCACTAAGCCTCAGGGGCTGTGTCCCCAGGGTTCCCAGATGTCACCAACAGGCCTTTCTGGCTGCTGTGCAGTTTTTACACGTGCGAAGCCTTTCACGTCCTTCCCAGTCCTGTGCGTTTCCTCCACCTTCACGGGTGTGGGATGGGGTCTCGATGCCCCTTTCATTCGCAGTCCCCCTCCCCTCCCTCTGCTCCCTGCTTTGTTCTCGTCATGAGCTTCTCCGGCCTGTCTGGTCCCGGGGCAGCTAAGAATTCCTCATCTCTGATGTCTGTTGAGAAGGCTAATGTTGGAAAACCACGTCATTTGAAAAGGTGATGTGTTCTCAAGCCCGTGTTAGAGAAACAGCAGGAGGAGGCGCCCGCTCCCTGCATGCCCCCAGCACCCTGGCAGACAGGCTGACCTTGCCCAGCGCACGCTGGACAACCCCTGTGGTCAGAGCTTCACTAGCCCCGAGATAGGCTGTGCTACAGCCACGCTGCTGCGGAGAACCAAGGGGCCGCTTGGAAACCTGCCTCAGGCCTCTGTGCTGTGTGGAGCTGGTCCTGAGCAGGTCTCCGGTGTGGCCTGGGTGGACGGCCCTGCCTGGCCTTCAGCCCCCTGCTGCCCCCGCGTCCTCAGGCTCAGGCCTGGCTGACAGGCGGGCTCTGCTTCTCAGCTGGAGCGCATGCTGGAGAACACAGCCATGCGGGCCCAGAAGCAGCTGGTCCTGCTGCACAGGGAGGAGGGGCCGGCGCCGGCCCGCACCGTGGAGTGGCTCAACATGCGGAGCTGGTGCTCTGGCCACCTGCACCTTTGCTGCCCACGCCGCGTCTTCTCTAGGAGGAGCCTTCCAAAGCTGGTGAGACCCGGGCGCCCGCGGCGGGGCCCGCCCAGCAGGGACTCTGGGCTTCTGCTTTCCTCCTGCTTGCATGGTTTGCTTCCCTAGACTTTCAAAATATCCCTGCAGTCTCTCTCCGATGTTCTGACATCTGAGCTCTCTGGGGCTCTGATTACGATGGCTTTTCTCCTCTCCACGTGCTTGTGGACTTTGGTCACGAGCTCGCGTTGACTTGATCTCGATCTTCAGGATTCTGTGGCCACAGCGTGGTGACGCACTCTGCAGATGCAGGCACGAGCCTGAGGAGCACCCCCGCAGGACAGGCCTGACGGGGTCCAGAGCAAGTCCTGAGCCCTTTCTTGGGGGCCTGGTGCAGAGGCAGCCCACGTGCTGCAGCCCCCACCCCCGCAGCACAGGGGCCAGTCCTGGGGCCACATGCCTGCCCAGGATCCCAGGCCCTAGAGAGCACCGTCTGCCGCAGGGCCGGAAAGTGTGGGGTCCCACGGGAAGGGGCTCTGTGTTCTGGTGGTCCCTCTGGGCCTGCTCATCCACCCGTGTGCCCTCTGCTGACACCGCCCAGCTGAGGTGCTGACAGGGTCGTGTCAGACAGACCCTGCCATGTCCTGGAGGGCGTCTGGGGTCAGAAATGGAGGAAACTCACCCTCACCGAGCCAGCGGGGCAGGGGTCCCACACCAGCCCTGCCACCTGCTGGTCCTTCTCCCAGGTGGAGATGTACAAGCGCGTCTTCCAGAGACCCCCAGACCGGCACTCGGACTTCTCCCGCCTGGCAAGGGTGCTGACGGGCAACGCCATCGCCCTGGTCCTCGGGGGAGGGGGGGCAAGGTGAGTCCCACCCCTTCCCCCACACCACTCCTACCATATGGGCAAGTGGTGACAGTCGCCCCTGGGTGCTGCAAGGACGTGCTGCAGACCAAGAGACCCTCAGGCCACAGGTGGACTCTGCCCCTGCGGACCCAGCCTCCAGCGTCCTCAAGAGAGAGTCCCCGTGGGTGGGCCTGGTCTCTGTGCCTGGTGCGCCTCTCACCCCTCTCGCCTAGAACTTCCCTGGTTTTCATTGTTGCTAATTTAGTAGAAGAAAATTTGTATCTTGCTCTGATTGCCTTTGAAGCATTTGTTTGCTTATTAGCCGTTCGCATCTCCTCTTCTGAAACCTGTTCTTCCCCTTTCAGTCTTGCCAGGGGTCTCCTGGCGAGTTTTTTCCACGTAGTACACGCCGTATGGAGCAATGATCCGATTTGCTCGGGAGCCAGTGACTTTCTGTAGTTCTTTGGGCTGTTGAGTTCCTTAAAGGACTTTTAACTCTAACTCTGACACCACCCTCTCCTGAACTCAGTTAAAGAGAAATACACTTGGGGCAGAAGTGGGGCCCAGGGAGTCCCGAGGTGGCAGGAGGGCACATGCCAGCGTCTGCTGCTGCTCTGCGCCTCCCTGGACGGGGGGTGACAGGGCTGCTGGGCCGGTGCGAGGGTGGCCCCCCGGGTGGCTGCTCTTGCCAGCACCTCTGTGCACAGCGCCTGGCCCAGCGGCTGGGTTGGCTGGGGAGCAAGGAAGGAGCACCCGCCTGAGGTCGCCCGACGGGGAAGGACCCAGGCCTCTTCCTGTGGGTCTGGACAGCAGGCGGCTCAGAGCAGCTGAGCCCAGACTGGGAGCTGGCTCGCAGGCCTGCAGCATTTTGAATGAAAATGTAATTTTAATCCAGGGGATACTTAGAAGCCACGTACCACAAAACAGCAGTCCTCCCCCCACACCTCCTGCACCTGATCCAGAGAGATCCGAGAAGTAACCACTGTCAACTTTTTTTGGCTGTCTGCCTGTCTATAGTTCTAAATAGAATCCCTATTCTATCAATTTTTCGTTTTTTCTGTTTTAGATTATTGACTTCGTAGCCCCTCCAGCACACACAAAGTCAGAGTCTGTGCAGCTCCCTCTGTCTCTCTGGGCCTGTCTCCCTCCTTCCCGCTCACGATCGCAGTGTGGCCTGACACTCACTCGCCGTGTGTGCTGCTATCCAGAGCCAGGCGTTGTGTGCTGTGATTGTGTCTCGTTCCTTGGAGTTAACAATCGCTGCATTTGCCGTTTGCTTGGTTTTCTGGGCGTCGATTCACCCACAGACGCTCTGCTGCAAGCACGAAGCTCTCGGTGTGTTTAGGCGCCAGTCGTCTGTACTTAGCTCTGAGGAGTCGTCTCCACTTAACCCTCCGGCTTCCTCCTGTTGCTCCTGGTCGCTTTCTCACGTGTTGCTGAGATGTCGCCCTAGAATTTTCCTTCACCATCATCTGGGAGCTACCTTTGTTTCTCTCTTGTGTTCAACTCTATTTCCCGCATTCCATGTCTTCCTTTCCTTGATGTACTCCTCATTTTGGTGGACACATACTCTAGAAATTTCCTCAGGAGGAGATGTGTGGAAGGTAAAAATCGCAAGACTGTGCCTACCCAAACACCTCCTTATTCCATTCCCATGCTCGAGTGACAGTGGGCTGGGTGTGGAATTCTAGGTGGAAATCATTGTCTCTGAGAAGTTTTAAGGCATGGTACTGTTGTCTGTTCAGCTTTTAGTACAGCTGTTGAGATGTGCAATGCTATTTTTATTCATGAGGCCTGTGTTTTTCTTCTGGAACTTTGTAGGAGGTTCTCTTAATTTTCGGTGTTCTGAAAGTACATGACGATGCGCATTGGTGTGGTTCTTTTTTGATCCATTACACTGAATTCCCAGTGGGTCCTTTCAAATTTGGGAATCTATGAACTTTAGGAAATGTTTTATTTTTTGAAATAAGTACGTTTCTCTTTTCGCTGTTTTCTCTTCCTAGAGCTTCTAATTGTCAGATTTTGGGCACCCTGGATGGATGCTCTAAGTCTCATATCTTTTCCTTCCCATATTCTCTGTCTCTGTCTTTTTATTCTACTTTCTGGGAGATTTTCCGCAAATGTATCTTCCAATTGATCTTCTATGCTAAAATATTTCTAATGTCTGAATGCTTCCTTCCCCTTACGGTATTCTCTCTCGGTTTCATTCATGTAACATCGTAGTTCTGAGAATGTCAACGGCAGGTGTTTACTCATTTGCTTGCATGCTTGCCTCAGTCCTGCACCATGCTCCTGTTTGTGCCCGGCTCGTTCACCCAGTGCAGTGTGTCTGAGGTGTGCCTGTGTCCCTGATCACATCGGCACCAGTGCAGCTGAGGGGCGTGCCATGTAACCGCACTTCACTATCCGGCTTCCTGTTGATGGAGATTGGGTTGTTTTCTGGTTTTGGTTATTATGAACACAACTATTATAAACATTCTTGTACAAATCTGTTTGTAGACATATGTTCTCTTTCATCTTGGGCAAATCCTGGGAGTAGAGTTACAGACTCATGGGGTAGTTATACCATTTTACACCCTCACCCGTGATAAGTGAGAGTTCCAGTTGCCCACATTCTTGCCAACCCTTGATATTGTCAATTTCTGTTTGTTTGTTTGTTTTGAGACATAGTCTCCCTCTGTTGCCCAGGCTGGAGCACAGTGGCATCATCACAGCTCACTGTAGCCTCACACTCCTGGGCTCAAGCGATCCTCCTGCCTCAGCCTCCCAAGTAGCTAGGACTACAGGCACAGCCACCACACCTGGCTAATTTTTTCTATTTTTAGAGGAGACAGGGTCTCACTGTGTTGCTCAGGCTGGTCTTGAACTCCTGACCTCAAGTGATCCTCCCACCTTGGCCTCCCAGAGTGCTGGGATTATAAATGATAGTTTTTACAAATGGTAGATGATGTATTTTCCCCTTAATCTGTTAATGCATGAATCACATTGATTTTCATACTAAAACTCATGTTGTCTTCTTGGGATAGACCCATGTGGTCACGATGAGTTAGCCTGTTTGCATATTCCTAGATGCAGTTTGAATTGGAATGACACTTGACTGAATTGTCCTTTCTTGGAATATCTTTACCGGCTTTGGCATGACAGCTCGTTTGCTGGCTTCGTAAATGGAGGTGGGAAGTGCTTCTTTCCTATTCTCTGGAGAGTTTTGTGTAAAATTTGTGTCACTTCTTCCTTATATGTTTAGTAGAATTCAGTGGTGAAACCATCTGGACATGAAATTCTCTTTGTAGGGATTTAAAAGTTAAAGATGCATTTTCTTTAATGGTTACTGCGCTGTTCAGATGTTCTGTTTCTTGTGTTAGTTTTGGTAAGTTATGTTTTTCTAGGGATGTGTCCGTTTGATCTGAATTTATTTATAGCGTGACATTGTTCCCAGTAGCCTCTTATCTTTTTAGCGAAAGTGTCTGTACTGACGTCCCCTTTTCATTCCTGACATTACTGACTGAGGCCCGTTGTCCTTTTATTCTCTTTCCTTGGCCAGTGTTACCGGGGCTATCAGTTGAATTAATCCTTTCAAAGCACCAGCTTTGATTTCTGTTGATCTTATTGTATGTTTGTTTTTTGTTTCTTTAATTTCTGCTCTTTGTTATTTCCTTAATTTTACTTTCTTATTTAAATGGCTATTGTTTCCCTAACTTGTGGGCCAGCAGACATTGTCTGCAAAAGACCCACTCGAATGACAGACAGGTCAGCGCTGTGTGTTGTACCTTTGACGGCAACATGCCTCCTCTTCTCACGCTGGCTCAAAGAGTTTTTTCTCTGCCTTGGGTTTTCAGTGACACAGAAATGGTTTTCTTTGATTTATGCTTAGAGTTTATAATGCTTCTCGAATCTGAGGCTCGATGCCTGTCATCAATTCTAAAAAATGCCCAAAAGTTATCTCTTCAGATACTGCTCCGTTCCATCTCTTCTCTCTGTGGCTCGGATGACACGTAAATGCGACCTTGCGCCAGATCCCATATGTTTCTGTGCTCCTGGATGTGTTTCGTAAGAGAATATTTTACATATTCCATCCTTTCGATGCTTCACGATTCGACAAATGTTTCCTCCCGATCTGTCTTCTGTGCCACCATTTCTCTCTTAATGAAGCTGGTCCAATTTGCTGTTAAACTCATTCATTGAGCTTTTCATTTCAGTAATTTTATTTTTTACTTCCAGAATTTCTATTTGATTTTATTCCAAAATTATCAATTTTGTCTTTAATTCCTTGAACTTTTTTAAAAGGCTTATGCTGAGTTTGTGGTGATACAACATACAGTTCTTTTTTATTGTGTTAAAATATACACACATAAACTTTACCATTTTAACCATTTTTGAGTGTGCAGTTAAATACATTCTCGATGTCATACAACTATCTCTACTATCCATTTCCAAATGGGCTTACCTGGGCTAACTCTGGGTCCACTTTTATTGTCTGTTTTTCTTACAGTCTTATGGTCTCTTCTCCTCATACGACTGCTGGTTTCTGGTTGCGTGGTGTACGTTGTATAGGAAAATGGTGGCAGGTGGAGGCTCTGGGTGGGAACTCCAGCCCCAGTTCAAGGTGACGAGAAGCTGGCCTCCTGGTCTCTGTGTGCTGCGCTCCCCAGGACCCACCCCACCCGGCCGGCACACATCCTGGCATGGGGGCAGCAGATGTTTGCGGGTAGAAGAGGCCAGTGCTGGTCGCCTCTTGGGACACCCTCCCCACCTCATCCCCACTGTCCCCCAGGGCCTCCACAGAGCAGCCAGGATCCCTCTCTGAGTCAGCGTCTTGGCCTGTGCAGGAGTCGGGAACCGAGCAGGCTACGGGTGGCCACCCTGGCGGTGCTCACTCCCTGCTCTGTGTCCTGGCTGGTGCAGAGGCTGTGCCCAGGTGGGCATCCTCAGGGCCCTGGCAGAGTGCGGCATCCCCGTGGACATGATCGGAGGCACATCCATTGGGGCCTTCATGGGCGCCCTGTACTCTGAGGAGCGGAGCTACAGCCAGACGCGGATCCGGGCCAAGCAGTGGGCAGAGGTGAGCAGGTGCCCACCATGCCCCCTGGAGCCCAGCTCCGGGCCAGGCTGGTGTGGTGGGGGCCAGGAGGACAGGGCACCCGTGGCCCTGCCCCTGCACGTGGCTCTGCAGGGCTCTGAGAGCATGTAGGGGGCCCAGGGGCAGCACCGAGAAGCAAAGGGTGTGGGTTGTGGTGGGCAGCGGCCCAGTGACTGGGGGCAGCCTGGGAGGCCAGGGCCAGCCAAGGAGAGCGGACTGTACTCATGGGCCGTAGGGCAGGGAGCAGCTGGGGACATTGGCTGGTGGTGGCAGGCGGGCGGGGGTGGGTGTAGTCTGGCCTTGTGAGAGATGGATGTCAGAATGAAACACCAAATACAGAATCAAAGAACACAGAGAGAACAGGCTGCCCCAAAGGAGCAGAGGGCCAGCAGGCTGGGCTCGCGGCTCCCGCAGGTGTGGCATCACCTGCCTGCCCTTCTCGGTGCTGTGCTTGCTTTTGTGAACAAAACGGAGCCCTGGCTGAAATCATGAGTGGGATCAAAAGTGTTTATGTTCTCCTTTTAAAAGAAAAGAAACTTCGTCATCCTGCAGGTAGCAGCTGCTCTCAGGGCAGGCACATGGCTGCTCCCCGTGGCCTGGGGCTGCTGGAGCCCCAACCAGGGTCCCCAAGGCCATGCCACTGACTCCCTTCACTGCTCCAGAAATGTTTTTTTCCCTGAAATGAGCAACCTGGTTACCCCTGGTGTGGCCACTCCTGAGAGAAGGCCTGGGGGCTGGTGCTGGGGAACCAGGCATGGCAACAGTCGGGGCTCTTTGGGCTGGTCCCACCGTCCTGGGTGTACTGGGCCACGGGAGCCTGCCAGGGAGAAGCCGCTGAGAGAGAGTAGGGCTGGGGCAATGGCCCCATCCCTGGGCCATGGGAGCGCCCCAGGTGGTGGAGTGCGGGGCCAGAGAACACCCTGCTCGCCTGGGGAATCCCCACCAGGTCCCACTGGTGCCTGTTGCTGGGCCCCGGCAATTGGCCCTGAGCTCCCCTCCTCCCACCCTCCCAGTGCTGGGCCTGTGCTGGGCCTCACCCCAAACCCTGCCAGGTGCTCCTCCACTCAGCAGGCAGACCTGTGAAGGCCCAGGGTGTGACTGTGAGGCCTGTCTAGGTCAGGAAGGGACAGGGGCAGGGGCTGTATCCACTCGCCTGTGCCCAACCTGCAGCTCCAGCTCACGGCATGCACAGCCCTGAGACCCTAGGCAGGGGCTGTGGATGCTCCCATACACCCATACGGATGCCCACTTTCCTGCTCCAGCAGGGCCTGTGGGCATGAGCCCCTCTACAGAGGCCTCTGTGTGCCCCTAGGATGTGACATCGATGGTGAGGGCCGTGCTGGACCTAACCTACCCCATCACATCCATGTTCTCCGGAGCCAGCTTCAACAGCACCATCTGTAGCATCTTCAAGGACAAGCAGATCGAGGTGCGTCCCCCAGCCGAGACAGGCTACCCTCCGGAGCCCACGCAGGCCCCCTGGCCTGTGACTGTACGCCCCGTGGCACTCGGTGCCCTCTTGTTCCACCCCCTGCCCCACGTTCACCCGGCCCTGGGTCAGCTTCCCCAGATGGGCGCATCCGAGCCCCCCTCCTACAGGACCTGTGGATGCCCTACTTTGCCATCACCACTGACATTACAGCCTCCGCCATGCGGGTCCACACGGATGGTGAGCACGCCTCCCACATGCAGCCAGCTTGGGTGCTGGCATGGCCCGGGGACGGTCTGGTGGCCCCATGAGAATGGGGGAGGCACCAGGAGTCTCCAAGGAAGCAAAGGCTTGGGGAAATCTGTACACGAGGATGGGCAGCCTCTGCCCCAGGCACCACAATAGGATGAGGACACTGAGCAAGAGGCCAGAGGGGTGGACTGGAGACCCCAGGAGAGAGGAGAGAGAGGGCACACTCGGTCCTGGGGTGGGGGCACATTCAGTCCTGGAGTTAGGACACGCTCCGTCCTGGGGTGGGGGAACACTCGGTCCTGGGGTCAGGGCACAAAGTAGTGGGAAGACCTGAGCCTGGTAGTGTGTTGTGACCCCAGAGAAAGACCTCACTCCTGTTTAGCCTCCTGGACTCTTACCCTCCCCTAGGAAGAACTCTGTGGTAGCTTCTTCCCAGGCTGGCGCCCTGCCCCAGAGGTGGCACCTGCCGGCTCTCGGACCCACCAAGATGAGGACCTGACCCCTGAGTCCAGGGCAGGAACCTGTGGGCAACTAAAGGCTCCTCCGGCCCCCAGGCTCCCTGTGGCGGTACGTGCGTGCCAGCATGTCCCTGTCGGGCTACATGCCCCCTCTCTGCGACCCCAAAGACGGACACCTGCTGATGGATGGAGGCTACGTCAACAACCTCCCAGGTACTGCAGAGAGCTGGGGAGGAACCCCGACTGGCATAAGCATGGTGCTGCCTTGGTCAGCCTGCCGCATGGCCCCTGCCACAGCTGCCTCCACTCCAAGAAGGCTGGGGTGGAACACGTTTTCCTTACAGTGTGCCAAAGGAAAATGTCAGGCTGGCATCCGAGCAGGGCCTCACACACCACTGAGAACATGCACACATGTACACACACACACACACACACACACACACACACACGCACACACACACACACGGGCTCAGGACCACGTGTTCCCAGCATATGGCCCTGTTTGTCAGCTCAGCAGCACGCAGAACAAAGGCCAAGTAGAGGAACCAGGAACGATTAATTCCCATCTGTGCCCACAGTCAGAGCCCAACGGCCTGCAGGTGCCAGGCTTGCTGCAGGTGAGCTCACACCTCTCACCTGTTGGACATGTGGGTAGAAGGGCCCAGAAGACAGTTCTGTGCACACAGCTGCCCACAGAGCTGGGCATGTGGGTCTCCTGCCTCCAATGGTGGAGAGGTGACCCCATGCCACCAGGCCCAGGCCCCAGAGAGCAAGCCTCCAGGGTTCAGAGAGGTGGGCTCTGCCCTGTCCCCTGGCTCTAGCTGGTGGTGACCAGGGCTGCCTTCTCCCTAGCGGATGTGGCCAGGTCCATGGGGGCAAAGGTGGTGATCGCCATTGATGTGGGCAGCCGGGATGAGATGGACCTCACCAACTACGGCGATGCGCTGTCTGGGTGGTGGCTGCTGTGGAAACGCTGGAACCCCCTGGCCACTAAGGTCAAGGTAGAGCTGGTGCCTGTGGGGGCTGCTCCCTGCAGCACCCCTCACCACCTCCACCCCATGGGCAAGGGGTTGGGAGCAGCTCCCAGGCTCTGAGTCCAGGAGGTCTGGGGTCACTCTGTCACCACTCCCGCCCTGGCCCTGGGGGCAGTTCTGGGGACAGAGGGCAAGGGGCACAAGTCTAAAAGCTCCGTCACTGGCTAGAATACTGCTTGAGGACGGGGGTTGGGTCCTCAGGGCCTGTCCTGCGCCCTTGCCAGGTAGGCTGGGGAAGGGGCTGGGCAGGAGGCTCAGGCAGCTGTGACGGTGGCAGGTGCTGAACATGGCAGAGATCCAGGCACGACTGGCCTACGTGTGCTGTGTCCGGCAGCTGGAGACGGTGAAGAACAGTGACTACTGCGAGTACCTGCGTCCCCCCATCGACGGCTACGGCACCCTGGACTTTGGCAAGTTCAACGAGATCTGTGTGAGTGTCAGCCATTACCACAGGAGCAGGGCGCTGTGTGGCCCTCCCAGCCTTGTCTTGTGCACAGGACGTGGGGGCTCCTCACAGCTAACAGGGGCCCTGGTGTGCACAGGAAGTGGGGTACCAGCATGGGCGGACAGTGTTTGACATCTGGGGTCGCAGTGGTGTGCTGGAGAAGATGCTACAGGACCGGCAGGGGACAGACAAGAGGAAGGCCTGTGCTGTGAGTGCCCAGTGGGAGGTCCCTGGGCCCCACGTCCCCAACTCTGGGGGCCTAAACAGAAGGGCTGGCAGTGGCCCTGAGGGCCTGTCTCCTGGCCTTGGCCCTCCTAGGGGAAGGATGGTGGTGTGGGTGGAGCATTGTGGCAGGCAGCCCCGTGCAGTAAGATGCACCTGTCTGTCCTCCGTCGCTTCAGGTCCTCAGCTGCCCCAACGCCTCCTTCACGGACCTTGCTGAAATTGTGTCTCGCATAGAGCCCACCAGGGCTGCCACGGTGGATGGTGAGTTGTCCAGCTGAAGGTGGCAGAGGCAGCATGACCTTCTGACACTATGCGGAGACATGCTGGGGCTGGCTGGGTCCCCACCACCCCATAGGCCTGCACCCCTCCCGCTCCTGCCCACCCTTGAGGCTCCACCAGCCAGGAGGCTTGGCTAGCACTCCTGTTCTAGCCAGTGCATGTCCCCACAGCAGTGGGAGCATCACCACCCAGGCCTCTCCCCTCATTCACCCCAAGCCCCACCCACACTACAGACCTGAGGTGGAACCACATTGCCCCCACCCTGCCCGACCCAGCAGGCCAGAGAGGCCGGTTCGGCACCATGGGGCTCAGTGTCGGCCCTGCACCAGGTGATAGGCCCCCGGCACTCCTCGAAGCAGAGGCCTGTCCTGGGGTGGCTGCCCCAGGGTGAAAGGCCCAGGCTCTGCAGCGACTGGGCTGGGCCTGGAGCTGCTGCTCCACAGCCCCTCTTGGAAGAGGCCTGGGGCATCTGGTCGAGAGGGGTGAGGAGTGTGTGCCCTCCTTGTCTGCGGAAGACCCAGCACCCCCCAAGTGTGGGGCCCAAGGACAACAAGACCGGGGTGTGTGCAGCCAGCCTCCTCTCTGACAGACTCGGCAGCCCTGCCTGCGTGGCTGTGTGGGCCCCCATGCCACGATGGGGGTGGGGGTCTGTGCCAGTGTCCTGCCTCTGCGCTTCACCTGCACTAGGCATGGCCCTGTCCTCAGGAGGGAGCCAATGTGGCCTCCCCTCTGCTCCAGACGAATCTGACTACCAGACTGAGTGGGAGGAGGAGCTGCTGGACGTCCCCAGGGACGCGGACGCCGACTCCCAGAGCACCCCAGCCACGCCGGCCTCTGACTTGGTGAGCTGAGGGCCCGTGTGGGGCCTCTGGGTCCTGGCTCTGGGCGCTGCTCCCCCTTGCAGTCTTGCTGCACTGCGGCCGCCAGTCCAGGGTCAACCCTCCAGACCTGCCCGTCCCTCCTGCCCTCACCTTGCCTTTTGCTTCCAGGAGGATGAGCCCGGGCTTGCGCACTGACAGCCCAGGCGGCTTTCCCCAAACCGTCAGGGCGGCTCATCCCCTGGCTCACCGCGGACTCATCCAGAGCGCAGCATCCCCTGTGCCTGCCCTGCGCGAGGCCCCGCTTCCCTGCCTGGGCTGTGTCGCGGACTGCGGTTTCCTCTCTGCACTAGCAGCCCCCGCACTCACGCAGCAGTCCTGGGGGGCTGCGAACCCCCGCTGCCCCTGAGAGATGTGGGAGCCCTGATGCTGTAGCTGGGCATGTAATAAAGGCGAATCCAACCGTGTATTGGGCGTGTCTCCCCGTGCTGAGGTCCCTGTGGGAAGGGTCACACCAAGATGTGCCCGATGTGGGGGACGTCCCCGAGGCCGGACGGTCATCTGTCCTCCTCCAAGGAGCCCTCTTATGATGAGGCCTGAGACGCCAGGGCGGTAACTCCGGGCTAGCCAGGCAGGGCGCCCAGGGTCTGGATGGAGCTGGGGTCCCCCCAAAACCAAGCCGAGCCCAAGTCTGCGGGCGCGCTCCTTTCGGTCTCGGGTCCCCAGTGGTGCAGGGGAGCCCTTTGGTGTCATAGGGAGAAGCGCCGGTGCTGTGACCCCTGCAGGTTTCACAGAGCAGCGGCCGTGAGGCCCGCGGGCCTAAGACCTTGCGGTCAGGGCACCGCCGGCCTCAGTTTCCCCGCCTGGGAGGCCGCAGCGAGAGCCCGCAGAGCCAGGCGTCCGGTCCCGTGTCGTTTCGGCGGGCGGAGCCGCATTCTGGCCCCGCCCCTCCCGTGACGTCACGGTAGGCGGAGCTGCCCGCCCCCGGCCCGGGCACAGCTCTCCCCCGAGCGGCGGGACGCGCGGAGCGCCGGGTGCGGCCATGCGGGACCCTGGCCCGACCCCGACCCCGAGCGCGAGGGCGACGCCGAGCGCGAGCGCGACCCTGACCGCGACCCCCGGCGCGGCGCGGCTCCCCCGGCGGAGGCGGCGGGCGCGGGGCGCGCTCTGAGGCCCGGGGGATGCGCGGCCGCCTCGACCATGGGCGCCGCCGCCTCCAGGAGGAGGGCGCTGAGGAGCGAGGCCATGTCCTCGGTGGCGGCCAAAGTGCGGTGAGTGCGCCGGGACCCCCGCCCTGGGCGTCCGGGCCGGCCTAGGGTCCAGACGCTGGACCGGCTCGCGTGCTCCCCGCCCCCCTCGCTCACCCCGCACTGCTCGCCCCGCGCTCCCCGCCGCCCCCACCCGCCCCTCGAGCTTCTCTCATTGCGGCGCCTCTCCCGCACCCAGCGCCCCCTCCCCCACGCCTTCTCGCCGCGTCTCCCTCTCCTGGTGCCCTCTCCAGTCCTCCCCTCCTTGACCCGGTGGTGAGCGAGTGGGCGCCCCGGGTCGGGAGTGGGCCTCTGGCCTCACGACCCCACTGCTCCACGATCTGCCCATGGTCTGCAAGTCTGGCCAAGGCGCACTAGGACCCGAGGATTCCTGGGCTTTCTGGAGATGGATGGTCCCCGACCTTCTCTTGTTGGTGGGGCCGGCCTGCGTGGGGGTGGGGACCGCAGGCTCTGGCCAGGGTGGGCTGCGTGCACTGACAGTGCCCCCTCTGCCCACCCTGCAGAGCAGCCCGAGCGTTTGGAGAGTACCTGTCCCAGAGTCACCCTGAGAACCGCAACGGTGCAGGTGGGGGCCTGTGAGGCAATGCCAGGGCGGGTCTGAGACCCCCCAGCCTAGGGCACATGTCACCTGCCTCACCAGGGGTGGAGTGGCAGTGGTTGGGCGGCAGATGCCCTGCAAGGATGGCTTCCTCACATCCCTGCCCAGAGCCCCAGGAGCAGCTCAGAGTCACTCATCACCATGGCACCCACCCAGCCTGGGCCGTTGGCATGGCAACAGGCCTCCTGGCACCCTAGGGCTGGCACCACTGTCTCGGGGGCCAGCTGGTGGGAGGAGGGGAGAAGTTGGCACCAGGCAAACCATGATTGCTTGCTCGGGGATGGCTTGCCTGTTCCTAGCCCCCAGGACCATGCACAGGTAGCACGGCTTGTCTTTCCCCTCCCCTTCCTGCACACCAGGGCTTCAGGCCCAAAGGAGGTGCGAGGGGCTTAGACACACTCTTCCCGAAAGTGTCAGCGCCTAGGGTCTGGGTAGCACCAGTCCCCCACATCAGGTCAGGGGCCCGCAGCTTGCGACAGGGAGGGCAGGCCCAATGGGCTGCAGGCCCACCTGGTGCCTCTCTCCCAGACCACCTGCTGGCTGACGCCTACTCTGGCCACGACGGGTCCCCCGAGATGCAGCCAGCCCCTCAAAACAAGCGCCGCCTCTCCGTCATCTCCAACGGCCGCTACGAAGGCAGCCTCTCAGAGGAGGCCATCATTGGGGAGCCGGCTGGTGAGGGCCCCCAGCCCCGCGTGTACACCATCTCTGGGGAACCAGCCCTGCTCCCCAGCCCCAAAGCAGAGGCCATTGAGCTGGCTGTGGTGAAGGGGCGGGGCCCGCGGGAGCGGCACGCTCACCACCACAGCCAGCCCCTGCGCGCCAGCCCAGGCAGCAGCCATGAGGATGTCAGCAGGCCCTGCCAGAGCTGGGCAGGCAGCCGCCAGGGTTCCAAGGAGTGTCCCGGATGTGCCCAGCTGGCCCCTGGCCCTTCCCCTCGGGCCTTTGGGCTGGACCAGCCACCTCTGCCCGATTCCTCTGGCCGCCGCAAGAAGCTGGAAAGGATGTACAGTGTTGACCGCGTGTCAGGTAAGGCGCTGGTCTCCGCACAGACAGGTTTGGGTGGTGTGCTGGTGCCGCAGATGGGGAGGGGGAGGTTGCCTAGGTCAGAGTGTGCCAGCAGACTCAAGATTAAACCCCTAGGGCTCCTGCCTCCACCCCCACACCCCGTGAACTGGGGGCTTCCTCAGCTTCTCAGTGAAGATCTGCCAGGCCTCATGGTCAGCTTTGGTCCTGCCTGCACCAGTTCAAAGAGTGCTTCCTGGAGGAGGGGACCTGGGAGTATCTTGAAGGATGCACAGGCAGGAAACATGGCTTACACGGAAGACCAGGCTGCCTTCAGGGAGTCCTGGGGGGCTGCCTGGGGCCCAGCCAGCCAGTAGCCTCTTCCCCGGGTTGTGGAGCCATGTCTGGTAGCTGCGCCGTCCCACAGAGAGGCCTCCCTGGGACATTGTGCCAGCCCCACGCTTGGTCATCTGGGAAGGTCTGTAGGGCCCCGGAGAAGGTCAGCCCTCAGCAGGGTGTGTCCAGCCTCAGCGAGGGCCTCTAACTGGTCCTCCCGGAAGGGCCCAAGGTGGGGAAGGTCTGGCCAGGCTGATATGGGAGCATGGGGGCTACAGAGAATGCCTCGGAGCCCCTTCTGCCCAAGGGAGACGAGATGAATCCTTTTCTGGGCACCCCTGGAGACAGACTGCGCTTTCAAAGGAACGTTCCTCAAATTTTGAGTGGCTAAAGGGAAAGTTAAATAAAAAAGAATCAAAGCATCAAGTCACCAAGCTTCTGAGCACAGTCTCGGTGAATGAGCAGCTGGGCTTGCAGACACTGCCTCTGGTCTCACTAGGGGATGCTAACCTGAGCCCACACTCCCACTTGGGAGAGGGCTGGGGCCTCTGCTGGCTGCTGCTGATCCCTGGGCCTGGAATCATTCCCTTCCCCAAGGAACCCCCAGTACACCCCAAGCCACCTCTCCTTTTGTCTCTCAGATGATGTCCCCATCCGTACCTGGTTCCCCAAGGAAAACCTTTTCAGCTTCCAGACAGCAACCACAACTATGCAAGCGTGAGTCTTGTGCCTGCCGCTCAGGGTCAGGACCAGTGGCCTCTTTCTGGTGCTCAGGAAATACTGACCACCCTTTCCCAGCCTCTGGGCCTCCGGGAGCTGCTTCTGAACAGCCCGTGCCCCCATGCTGTGCCAGGCCTGCCAGAGGAGTCAGGCTGGCTACTCTCCCCCACCCCAGAGTACGTGCCCCACCCCGTCCCCACAGTCCCTCTGGTCTGGGAACCTGGCCCAGGGCTGCAGCCAGCGCAGCTGTCAGTGGGTGTGTGGGGTGGGCCCTGGTTCTCCTGAGCCCGCCATGTGTCCTCAGCCTGAGTCTGCCCTCTCTCGCAGCCCAGACAGCAGCCTACTTCTGTTTCCTGTGTGCCACAGGTGATCACAACCTAGGGGTTCTTTGGGGCTTTGCTCTTCTTCATCTTTGACATACATCTGGGTTTTCTGTTGTGGGGTTCTTTCCAGGGAGGTGCCCTTTACTGCAGAGGCCCCTGCACCAAGAAACTCCCTCCCCACCCCTGCCCTAGGCTGCTGTCCCTGACAGGCAGGGCACAGTCAGGCCTCTGTAGGACTCTCCCACCTCACCCCCCTACCCGCCCCCAGCCCAGCCTGACCAGGTCATAGCACCTGGTGGCATGAGCCGCAGTGACATTAGCTTCCGCTGCCCTTTCAGGGCTGGCCCACAACATAGCCAGTGTCCTGCTGGTGGCTGGGGTACCTGTGAGGGACCCTCTGAGTCAATGACAAGAAGGGAACTAACTGCAGGGCCCTGGAGGGGCTGAGGGGAGGCCCAGGGCTGAGGCTCACTGTGTCTTTCCTCTCATGCTGTCCCTTCCGGCTGTGGCTTCAGCATCTCGTAAGTACCCTGTATGACTTTGTGCCTAAGGGCACAGCTGTTGTCCCTGGGGGGACCTCCTGCCCCCATACAGGTTTGGGCAGGCCAGAGACCTGGGCCTTGACTATGAGGGAGTGCTTTGCATGGGCCCGGCTCCCTGTGGGCACCGAGGCCGCAGCAGGGTCTGCCGAGAGCCAGGCCTCAGACGGGTGAGGCAGGCCAGGACTCCTCTGCCAGGCCCTGTGCCCCGGAGGCCCCGCTGGGTCGTGTGTGCGTGCCTCTGTCCCCACGTTTGTATCCCTCCTGCCTCTGGCCAAGGGCAGTGCTGACTCGTGGCGGTTTCCCAGGGTGTTCAGGGGCTACGCAGAGAGGAAGCGCCGGAAACGGGAGAATGATTCCGCGTCTGTAATCCAGAGGTAGGGCCTGCCAGCCACTCGCCACCAGGGTCCACCTCTGGTCTGTGCTGGCCTGGGTGGGCCCTCCCGGCCCTGGCAGACCTGATGGGGAAGGGTGGTGGCGACCACTGGCCTGGCCCTGCTCTGGGGACGTGGCAGGCAAGAGAGGCCGTGTGGCCTGGCTGCAGAGCACTGTTTCACCCCCAGGCTTGCATTTTGAGGGTGCATTGACAGTCCAGCTGCAGCCAGCTGGTCCATCTCTCTGTCTGGCCCCAAAGCCCAGGCCTACCCTCCCCCACTCCCACCAACCACAGAGATGTCTGGGAAGCTTATTTGTCCGTTTTGGACATTGGGCTTTGGTAGGGTACAGAGTTTGGGGGAAGAGAGGACCTGCCTCGGGGGTCGCCTGGGGACACAGTGGCAGGGGAGGGGCACCTGTAGGCCCCACACCACCCTGGGGGTGGTGCAGATAGGCACCTTGCCCTGGCCTGGACTACCTGGGAAGGGAGGCCCAGTGGGATCCAGGGTGTGGATGGGTCCACACAGAGAATGGATGGGTCGGGAGTGCCTGAATGTGCAGGGTCACCGAGGAGTGTAACTGGAGGCTTGATCTGGGGGCAAAGGAGAGACCTGGGGGGGTTCTTGGTAGGAGAGAGACTGGGTGGGATTTGCCCTTGGGTGGTGGGTGAGTGGAGCCAAGGAGAGCATTTGCGGCCCACACGGAAAGGGGCAAGAGTAGAGGAGCCTCTGGAGTGTCAGGGGCTGCTGCCCGCCCCTCTCACAGCCCTCAGGTCCCTGCTTCCTTCCCCAGGAACTTCCGCAAGCACCTGCGCATGGTCGGCAGCCGGAGGGTGAAGGCCCAGAGTAAGACCCGGGGGCGGCGGGCGGGGTGCTGCGCTTGGCCAGGTGGGGCTTTGTGTGCTGCTGGCTGTGCTACGACCCGCATTCCAGGACCGCGCTCCAGCCCTGTCCCACCGTAGTGTTCTGCCCCAGGCCACGCCCATCTAGGGCTCGCCCACCAGTCTCGCCCCACCCAGACTCCGCCCCATCCCTGCCCTATGGTGTCTTTGGGCTCCACCCTAGGTGGCCTCTAGCCCCGCCCCAATGTTTCTCCGGGTCTGCTCCCGCCCCAGTGTTCCCAGACTCCGCCCCCGCCCCGCCCTGCTGTTTCCCCAGGCCCCACCCCTCCCTGCCTGCCCCTGTGTTCTCAGGCTCCGCCCACTCCCCGCTCCTGCCCTCTTGTGTTTCTAGGTTCCACCCCCTCCTCCTCCCCACCCCAGTGTTCCCGGGCTTGGACCCCTTGCGCCGTTCTTCCTCCTCAGGCTCCGCCCCCGCCTTGCTCAGTCCGCCCCAATGTTCCCAGGCTCCGCCTCCTTCCGCCCCAGCATTTCTTGGCTCTACTGTCTGGGTTAAGCCTGACACTGGTCACTGTCTACGTTGTGTGGCTAAGGCTCCACTCACACCAGCTTCCATGTCGCCTCTTCAGAGACTCTCCAGGCTCCGCAGCCCAGGGCCTGGGTCTCCCCAGGTCCCGCCCTCCCAGGCCCCACTCGCTAATGTGGCTTTTGCTCTCTGCAGCGTTCGCTGAGCGGCGCGAGCGGAGCTTCAGCCGGTCCTGGAGCGACCCCACCCCCATGAAAGCCGACACTTCCCACGACTCCCGAGACAGTAGGTGCCCCGGCACAGGCTGGCCCACCTCCCCTAGGCCCCCAGACTCCTGCCAGGGGTCCCCTGTCAGGGCCACCAGGCTTCTGCGCTTTTGCAACCCAGCCTCAGTTTGCCTGTCTGTGAGGTAGGCCACTTTCGCATCTCCAGTGTCTTAGATGGGGTTAACTAGGGACTGTGGTAGTGCAGGCAGGAGGCACCTGTAGGGCTGTGCTCATGGCCACTCCCAGGAGGCCCTGAGGGGCAGGGCCTGCGATGCCCCAGCCCCACTCCCCAGGCTCCTGGCTAGCTGGCCAGAGCTGACACTCCCTTGTTCCCACCTGGGTCTCCCTTTCCTGGTCGAGCTACTTCCACTGGTGCTGGTGGCCCAGTCCTGCAGGGCTGGGAGTGACCCTCCAGGATGTGCCTTCTGGGCTCTGGGGGCCAGCGGGGCCGCAGGCAGGACAAGAGGTGCTGCTGGTCTGCTGTCCCGGTGACCCCTCCTGCCCCCCAGGCAGCGACCTACAGAGCTCCCACTGTACACTGGACGAGGCCTTCGAGGACCTGGACTGGGACACCGAGAAGGGCCTGGAGGCCGTGGCCTGTAGCACTGAGGGCTTTGTACCACCCAAGGTCATGGTGAGGCCCAACCCAGAGTGCTCCTCCATGCCACCGGAGCAAAGTGGCAGCCCTTCCTCTGAGAGCCTGACCAGCTCTGCTTGGGACCCTGCGGCCTCCACTGGCTGCCTGGGGGAGGGAGGCCGCGGGGGGAGGGGTCTCACAGGGCTGCATCGACTGCTCCGGGTTGGGCCTGGGGGGCCCTGAGCAGCTCTCTCTTCCCCAGCTCATCTCCTCCAAGGTGCCCAGAGCTGAGTACATCCCCAACATCATCCGCAGGGACGACCCATCCATCATCCCCATCCTCTACGTAAGCACATTTTCTGCAGGCTCTGCCCCCACAGGGGTTCCTGCGTCCAGAACCCCACGGGTGCTGGTCCCTCCTGTGGCTCTTAGCTGGGCCCCACCTAGGGCTGACGCCCTCCCCCCGGGTCCCCTGGCGTGCCTCATGGGGGTGCAGTCACGAAGGGCTCTGACGAGGCCTGTGGCCTATGTCTCTCGCCAGGACCACGAGCATGCCACCTTTGAGGACATCCTGGGTATGTGCCCTGCGGAACCCCGTCTCTTTTGGTCTCGGGCTGGGGAGGGTGTGCGCAGGCTCTGGGTGGCCCCGAGCCTCAGGGAGGGCGGTGCTCACACCCATTCTCCCACCTCTTCCACAGAGGAGATAGAGAAGAAGCTGAACGTCTACCACAAGGGGGCCAGGATCTGGAAGATGCTGATCTTCTGCCAGGTGGCCTCAGCTCCACCCTTGCTGCCTGGGGGTGACCAGGGCCCCGGTGCACGCACGTGTAGGGGGGCAGGCTTGCGGACACCCCCACGGGAGCCTCCCTCAGGCCCCACCCTTGCTGCCTGGGGGTGACCAGGACCCCAGTGCACGCACATGTGGGGGGGCAGGTTTGTGGACATCCCCATGGGAGCCTCCCTCAGGCCCCACCCCTGGAGGCCTGACCCTGGCCTCTTGCAGGGAGGCCCCGGACACCTCTATTTGCTCAAGAACAAGGTGGCCACCTTTGCCAAAGTGGAGAAGGAAGAGGACATGATCCAGTGAGAAGTGGGCGTGGGCGGCTGGGGGGACTTCTGGCCCTGGTGTACCCCTCCCCCTACGATGCTGCTTTCTGTGGACCTGGGCCAGAGGTGACCTCTCCCTCCCCCGCCAGCTTCTGGAAGCGGTTGAGCCGCTTGATGAGCAAAGTGAACCCGGAGCCAAACGTCATCCACATCATGGGCTGCTACATTCTGGGGAACCCCAATGGGGAGAAGGTACAGCAGCCCTCCCCGCCGGCTCCTGGAGACCCCAGACCTGGAAAAGCAAATGACCTTCCATTTTTGGCATTGGTCTTCCTTCCCCTTTAACCCCCTCAGGGAAATCCCCTGTGCCTGAGTCCCCCAGGTCTGGGGATGCGCTGTGCAAGAGGAGTGGGCCCTGCCCTGCCCTCCTCTCGCCTGCCCTCCCTTTCCCCTCTTCTCCCTGCCCCTCCCCCTCCTCTCCCTTTCCCCTCTTCTCCCCTCCCTTCCCCCCCACCCCAGACTCACATTCTTGCCCTTTCTTTTAGCTGTTTCGGAACCTCAGGACCCTCATGACTCCTTACAGGGTCACCTTCGAGTCCCCCCTGGAGCTGTCAGCCCAAGGTCAGTCAGCCCAGCCTGCTCCCAGCTCTGGGTGCCACAGAGGGGCCAGCCCCGGGGGCGTGGGATCCAGGTGGCTACAGGCCAGGCCTGAGCCTCCTGGCCTCCCTGTGTCCTGCCCAGGGAAGCAGATGATCGAAACCTACTTTGACTTCCGGCTGTACCGCCTGTGGAAGAGCCGCCAGCACTCGAAGCTGCTGGACTTTGACGACGTTCTGTGAGGAGCACGGGCCACTGCCCAGTCACCACCAGGCCACTTCCTCTGGACCAGGGGACTAGGGGCAGGGCTGCCTCATGCCACCTGGGACCATGCAGTCCTGGTCTTGCCCAGAGCCACTTCAGGGCATCTCAGACGTTGCTCAGGTTCTCTCCCGGGGGTATGGTCCTCGCTGCGCTGACGGGTCACAGAGGCCGCAGTCCCTGGGGAGGCCAGGAGGAGCCTGGCCCAGGGGCCAGCCCTGACCTGCCCAAGCCTCGCCTGGAGGCTGCAACCCTGGGAATCCTGTCCTCGGGGGCCATAGAAATAAGTGCAATTTTCTACACCCGAAACAATTCAAAGGGAAGCAGCGTTACTAGTTAGCTAGTTGAGCACTATGCTACTAGTTACAGCATAGGCAACCCAGCCGGCGGCCCAGTATGTGTTCAGGACCCTCTCTGCCCGCCCCCCATCCCTGCCGTATTTGATCACCAGCACCAGGGTGGCCTCTGTGTGGGGCCTGCGCTGAGCCGCCAGCCTGGCTGCGTCTGTGCCGCTGGCCAAGTCTGTCTGTGCTTTCACTCCTCCCGCCGCCCCCAGCCTGCTTACTCTGACCTCAGCCAGCGCCAGGCCCAGCAGGGGCGGCCTGGGTAGCAAGAGGCAAGGGCAGAGCCTCCCCTTCCTCTCAGAGGCTGCGCTGGGCTGGAACCTACTCCCCACTTCTCCGAGCCCACCCCGCACTCCGTGTGCTGTTGAGTTCAGCGTTTGCCAGTCTGGAGGCCCCTTCCCCGCACAAGCCCGGGAGCTTGGCAGGCCCTGGGGGGCGAAAACCGGGCTGTGCACTGCACCGGGGCCCTGGACCGGCCTCCCAGGCCCGAGAACCGAGCGGCTGGCGGCAGGCTGTGGGAGCTCCCTGACTTGACGGGGGTCTCACAGCCTTGCCCAGGGTCCCACAGGGTGGGCTCTCTTGTATATAGCTGGCGCTAGGGGGGCAGGCCCCCCTTTTGCAGAGCCAGGGGTCTGAGGGACTTGGCTGTGTCCCCAGCCAAGAGAGGGGCTGGGGCAGAGACTGGCTCTAAACAATGTACGATTATCCCTTAGAGTGATCATTAAACCTGACCCTCCCTGCAGCTGCCACCTGGGTCTGCCCTCTCAGTGCTCCTGCTGCCTCCCTGAGGGCCCTGGGGTGAGGGCACTGCCTGGACAGTGGGGTGGGGCTGCGAGCCCGTCTCGGGCACACACCGTGTGGGCTCCCAGGTGGGTCAAGAGTGGGGAAGGGATGGAGGAGAGCTGCAGGAGGGATGGGCTGGGGGGACGTGGCCCTAGAAAAAGGCGGAGCCAGGTCTGGAGGTGAAAACAGTCCCCTGCTGCTTCAACCCCACCCTGGGCACCAAGCCGAGGGCTGCCCACCTTCCAGGCCCCCTGTGTGTGGTTGGTGGTGTGGCCACCACTGGAGACCAGGGAGTGACCACAGCCTCAGCTGTCTCCATAGTCCAAACTGCTGCTGGGCACAGCCAGGCCTGGCTGTCCAGTTGCTGGGGACAGCAGCAGGCGACAGCTGGGCCTCCTCAAGGCCACCAAGGGCTGGGAGGGCAGGGCAGCCACCTGTGTACAGCATGGGCAGAGCGTGGCAGCTCGAGGTCTCGTGTGCTGGGGGTCATGAGGGGAGCAGCCCCTCCTGGGTGGTGGGCGCCATGCAGGCCTGTGGCGCCTCCGGCTGCTTCCAGGGCATCCCATGCAGTCCCAGCAGGGAGGGTGAGGTTTCGGTGCCAACTTGAATATATAAACCTGTAGGGAGTTACGTTAAATACACACTTCAAAAGTGACACGTGAAGGCATGGGTGATTCAGGATTCTCTTCCGTACAGTTCATGAGACGTGTCGCTACCGCCTGGAATCTGCTGACGCTGCCCTGCAGGCCGTGGGGTGGCTGTCTTTTCAGAGGAGGACGATGCCTGAGCACCACGTATCTGCCCATTGGTTACTCAGAAGGCACGTTAAAGTGTCACCTGCAGTCCTGACCTCAGGCCCTGAAGCAACCAATCGCTGGCTGGCCTGCCTCTCCCTCACCCCTGCCGCTAACGGGGACCCTGCAGTCTGGTGGGGCTGGGGGATGCTTTGGCAAGTGCGCCTGCACCACACTGTCCTTGGGGTCTGCTGGAGCAGGTGAGGGCCGGGAGGTCTTCCAGCTGGTTCGTGAGGGTCTGTTCCTCATGCCCACAGCCACCAAGGGGGAGCGTGATGGAGGGAGGGACACCGAAACCAGCACAAACTCGGTAAGCGTAGACCGGGGAGGAGGTGGCCGCGCCGGAGGCAGGCTGCATGGGCGAGGGGCTGTGCCCAGGGCACCCTGCCCTGCCTCAGTTGAAACACATGAACAGGGGCAGCAGTGAAAATAGGGAAGAAATATTTGCAACATAAGAGATTAAGGACTAGAGTCCTTAGTATTTAGAGTTTCCTTGTATTGATAAGAAAGACAAGAGCCAGTGTTGGAAAATGAGACTCCCACGAGACTGAAGAGCCAGTCAACGCATGAAAGTCGGAGCCCCACGAGGACAAGGAGAAGCCAACAAAAGCAACAATGAGGTTGTGTCACTGTTTTTTAAACAGCCTTCAAGTGCTGGGGAGGTGTTAGTTTTTGGCAAAAATTTTAAAGGATATTGAGACACTGTGCTGGTGGGTATGTAGGGAATATTCACATGTGAGTATGTGAACTGCTGTAGCCTTCCTGGAGAGGAATCTGGTAACAGGTCCTAAAATCATTGTCATGGATAAACTAGCAGGCTTGCCAAGCCTCCCTCTGGCACCTTCTGTGAGGGTGTCCTCTGGGCAGTGCCTTCTTGTCCATCCGGGTGTGGCCAGGTCACACGGCAGCTGTCCTGGGGAAGTTGTGGGTGGTTTACAAGGCTTGTTGCTAAGGAGGAAGATGCAAGAGGCCCAAATACCAAGGACTCTGATTAGAGTGACCAGGTCATGCTACAAGTTGGTAAACAGTGTCTCCCGTCCCCCTGCTGGGACACCCTGATCACCCAGAAGGCCCTGGCCCACCCCCTGTGCTGCCCTGCTCCTGGCCAGCCTGCTCTCTCAGGGTGGGCACGCTGGCCAGCACGTCCAGGCCCACCCACACGACCCCCAACGGCCACCCGTGGAAATCACCTTGGCATAGGCAAGCACCCTGGCAAAGCAGCCCCCTTGACAGGGCAGACCTGGTGGGTGGCCTGGAGGTGTGTCTAAAAGCATCCTGAGGTGTGGCTCCTGTTCTATAAAAGAAAACCCTTTAAGTGGGAATAAGCAGGTGAGTGTCATGCAACGGTGGGGAAACTGTGGCAGCCCACAATCCCTGCTGTAGCGCTGCTAGGAGGAGC